CAGGAACAGTCACACTGATAGATTAGCATTGAAGAGGAGAAATTAAGTAGTTTATTCTTGTTTATCGAACGTAAAATTGGAGTGGTTGTCAACAGATGGCGTACTTCTGCTATACTGAACGCCAATTTAACTGAGTTCCTCAAACCCTTTGTTACTATTTAGCTGAGGTTATCACCTAGAAATTGCAGTTTTATCGAAAAGGACTTCTTTGGGACTATTGCTGTACTGACTTATCTTGGAGCCAAATTCATATTTTCAACAATTGATGTTTCATCTTAGTGAAGTTTAATTTTCAACTGTAAAAATTTGAAAGGTACTTCATAGTGGATTTGGCTGATGAGTGCTGTAAGAGACGAAAGCCAGATATACTTTTTTTTATTGTGTATTGACTACACATTCAAGTTCTTCATGTGTATAAATATTTTTATCTCATTGGCACTTTTCGTAAAATGACCACAACAGTGTTTTAAATTACTTTTTTTTTCAACAACCCAGTAACTACTGTTTTAAGGTGAAGAAGATCAACTAATTTTTTGGTCTGACTGAATAATCGATACTATTTTTTGATTGGTTCACTTAAGACGGTATGTGCTATCCCCATTAGCACTAACAGCCAATCAGAAGAAAGGGTAAAAAAGAAAGATGGTTAAAATCAATAATGTAGGCAAAATACACAATTTCCACATATTTTATCAAGTTGACATTTTCTTCTGTTTACTGATAATGTTGTGAAAAGTAGTTATCACATTGATTTAGTTTATAACTTAAAGTACACGCGTCATTTTTTTAAAAAAGGTACAGTTTTTGTGTTAAAAAACACATAAATGAAATCTATCAGGCAGCTGGAAATTTGTTAACGACAATAATTTGTACCACTCTCTTCAAACCGATAAAAACTCTGGTCAGGTAGATGATGGTGTAATTGCGAAGCTTTCACATTGTGAAGTTGAGGCGTTGAATATGACGCCTTCCAAGGACAATGAAAGCTTCTCAGTTAAACCACTCAGCTTAGAGAAATATAAAAACACCAGGAATTTGTGCTCCTGTTTGGGCATATCGAGATTTATATGTATGTAGCAAGCACAGTTTAAGTTCTTTTGTGTAACTAGATTTAAACAATTACCATGACGGCATAGACTACTGTTTGGTTGATATAAGTAGTTGGAAGTCACTCACTTCGTCGGTGGCACAACGGTTAGGACGCTCGCCGAACGAAGAAGAAGAAGAAGTCGAGGGGTTCGTTCAAAGAAACCGCCAAGAATTAACACACACAAAGCAAACGCATCCCATGATATAAACATTGAACATCGAACAATGAAATATCTTTAAAAGAATTCTTACCATCATCATCAACTTGATCGGCCCATTCTTTTAAGGTATCTGGCTTAACTGTCAAGTTAAGTGCACGAAAAGCTGGACCTAAATCAGTAGTGCTGATTTTCTCTTGTCCTCTTTTATCGAAACGTTTAAAAACATCTTTAGCAACTAAAATTACAAAAACAAAGTGAGTAAGTAAATAAGTAGGATAACTTAATTTTTTTAAAATTATTTTTGTAAAGTGGATAAGTGTGATTTGCTTGATCATATGCGACACAGGAATGTACAATGTGTATTCTTCTTAGGATACGGATAGGCCGGTTTCGCTGTCGACCAAAAAGGGCGTGAGTTCTACTCACCACTTCGCTCTATCCTCCTTTATGGCTGTGAGTGAGACATGGCTATTGAAAGTGGAACATATGAAAAGGTTAGGTGTCTTTGATCATAGCTGCGTGTCTGCGTTCTATCTCCCGTGTCAGGTGGTGAGCGATATTGAGATTAGGCATCGGTCAAGTGCTGGGAGGTGAGGAGGAGGAGCTTCCGATATCATTAAAAGAAGGATCTCACAGTTCCTGAAAAGGACATTCCCTACTGCTTCGTCAAAAAGAGCGTCTCTCAGATGACCATTACTGTCCAATAACCTGAAGAACAAGACCCCGCAGTTGACCTTCACTGTGTGTTTGTCAATTCACCTGTTAATGTGGAGCTAGGTATATCGGTCGTTCAACTCGAGTTTTGTCCATGAGGGTGCAAGAACACTATTCTGCATGATGGTTACGAAGAGATGGAAGTGTAGCTATAACAAGTGCGATCATTGGAAATCTGGTCGAAAATGATCACCCTATCTCTACAGCCTCTGCCTTTAAAGTCATCTACAAGGCGAAAAGTAATTTGCCGAAACCGCCACGCATCCAACTCACCTGCATTGTTGAAGCCATCTTTGGCTATCGAAACAGAAAAGCCAGATCACTGTGTACAGAAAAAGTTCGTTCAACCCCTCAAACTTTCGTGATTTTAATCCCTCTATGCTAAAGTATGCAAATCCCTAATCATATTTCGGCTCTATCTACTTTTCGTTTTGTTCATTCAATTTGTATTCTCTTCCTTTATTACGTCAATTGTTACTGTTACTATTCTCACTTTGAATTGTTTCCGGTATTACTTCACTCGTTCCACACTTGTCATTCTAAATCACTTTTGTTTTGAAACGTTAAATTCTATATGATCAAATTTCACACAATGTTACGTAATGTTCTTATTTTTCTTTTATTTGCCTTCTAATCCTATAATTTCACACACCTTCCGAATTCTATACATCCTTATAATCACAAATATTTTAATTTTCCCTCGCCGGATATAATTTCTTAAGAAAAACCATAAATATACGATTGTACAGCTTGATAATAAATTTGTTGTTGTAAAGAGTCTCTTTTCGCTGAGTCGCTTGTTTTAATTTTCTATAATTTACTTCAGGGAAAGGCTGTCTCACTACCTACTATGCCTAAATACTTATCGCATAATTAGTTAGATTGAATTCAGACAGAGTAGTGTGTCATCATAAGTTTTCATGTCCAAACAAATAACTTTACCTACAAAACATATAGCACTGACAAGGATGTCTAGCACAACACTGAAACGTGTGCCAGTCAAAAAACTTGCCTCAGTGAATAGTTTACAATGAAGATATTATTATTATTGCTCCCTTGTGTTCCGAGTGGAACATATAGAGCTTCAACAACACATCTCCAGTTTCTTCTATTCTCTACTGTCCTATTCAGCTGGGTCCATGATTGCCTACAATCTCTCATCTCCTCCTCACACGATCTCCTCCGTTTAACCCTCTCACTGACGACCCAATCGTAGCTTCCCATTTGGATTCTACTCTAGGGACTGGCGCGCGATGTCATTCCACGGTCTCTTAGGTGGCGTCTGCCTGATCCATCTCCATTTTCTCCTACATATTTGTTAAGCGACAGGAGGGGTTTGTTCCACTGCAGAGCTTCTTGTTACTAATTCTTTCTGGACAGCCAGTTGATCTGAAGTATGGAGCCAGTAAAGTGGGCAGCTGTTGATATAAGTCTGAGACCTGTTTAAAATCCTCTTCGTGACACGCAGTGCACGTTTCTGACCCGTATAGAAGGACCAACTTGACGTTCGTGTAGAAAATCCGAATCTTGTTACGTATGCTGAGTGTAGAAGATTTCCAAAGTGGTTTCAGATTGATGCAGGTGTTTCTTGCCTTTCCGATTCTGGCTGACAGGCTGGCTTTGACATTTTCACCCGTGCTGTTCGACTGCCTACGGTGGAAACTGTGCTAGCTTCCTGGCCAGATAAGTGAAGCCAAAAAGTAACTTCTGTCAAATCTCTCCCGTTGATGGGGATTGGTGCTGGTTGTTGTTGTTGCTGTTGCTGTTACTGTTAGTTGGTCGGTTATCTTCATCACCTCCTTCTTCTCTATGTTCATCTGGAGTTAGTCCTGTCTTCGTTGCACTGCCTGATTCTTCAGCCAGTTAGTTGGTTTTCGCCTGTCCCTCTGCAAATCTTGCAGTTTGTGCGTGTGACACTAGTCATATATCATCTGCAAAATCCAGATCTTCTTTCTTATTATCACTGCCATCATTAGACGTACTAATAGATCAAAAATGCAGACTAGGTCATCATTTCAAAATGTAAAATAAGCATAAAAATATCTCTCCCCTTAAATACTATATTTTTTTGCCTTTACAAACTGATTCTATTTGAGTTGTTTAAACGAGTGTGAAATTTAAACAGATATACACTTAGAAGGCGGTCAAAACAAAACGAAAAAGAACTAAATCAACAAAATAAACTAACAAGGGGAGGGGTATTATTTAAAATCAAATAAGGCATTACCTTTGACTTGATCTTCTTGAATTGTAAAATCATCAATTTTAAAGGCCTGAATAAGGAGAGAAAACATTGAAATAATGTTAAAATAAATATATATTATAAAAAACACTGAATAAATCTGAGTAAATCTATTAAAAATTTAAATTTGAAATTTTTCGATCACGGATTGATGCCATTTAGAGAAACATTGGAAAACCGCTAGAGAGTACTGGACAGCCAGCTGTTTCGTCCGCCTAGTTCAGGACTCTTCAGTGGCACGCATTCTCTGGGCGAGTGAGCTCGTAGAATTTCCAACCACTGGAACCCAACTGATAAGTACCCAGTCCATAAACACCAACTTCTACTAGCTCATAAGTTTTTAGCGCGACTGCCAGTCAGTGTCATTGTTGGTGAGTATTTATCCTCGTGTTTGACCTGTTGGACCCCACTAGTTATGACTTCTCACGAGGACTTCAAGCACAGTCGTCAATATCGAGCATCAGAGTTAGTTTGTAGGGTATAGGTTTAAAACTTGGGCACGGTGGTACAGTATAATTCCGTTATGGATAAGATTTTATTTTGATAAAGTCTCACACAGTGTAGTGTTATACAGTAATATTAACTGATGACCACGTTTCGAGCACAAACTATTGCCACTCATAATCATATCAAGTCACTCACTCACACAACTTTTTTCCTTCATTTATATACATGAGTGGAATTCATGATTAGAAATTTGGATAAAAATCAATATGAGATAATGTACATTCAGAAATAATAATGAGTGTTATTGATCGAATACAGTGAGATGGGAAATAAGACGAGTGCTTTTATAGTCAAAATGAGTAACTTGTTAGAATGTTATGATGTACTTGAATTGGAATAGAATTTTAAGATTATTTATTATCCTCCTCTGATTTGACTGACTGGTGGTAATAATATCTTCCATGGATATCTCTGGTATTTGCATTGAGTCATTTCTGTTGCATGTGTTGTGTTGGGTGTAGATTATTCAATGAACCAGGATTCAGTAATCACCCTGTCTTTCTCTCCACCTACCTATGTTATCTTTTAAAATTTTCACTCACTCCCACCCTAATGTGTGGTTGTGTGTTAATGCATGCAGGGCGATTGATGAGCTTTTTTCTAAATTACTAATCTGTCTTCGCGGGATCAATCATTCTAACCTTAGCCACTAAATTCTTATGTTCTGATAATCTCACTACTCCTGATCTACTAGTTTGACCTATGTAGTCGACCCCACTCACAGTCATTGAGTCCATTGGGTCGTTTAGCCTACAGAGCTTTTCCTACCCGAGTGAGTTTGTAGGTTTGAAGTAAAAACTTGTGTGAGTAGTGCCTTGTTATGATTATGAGCAGTAATAAATTGTGCTCGAAACGTGGTCATCAGTTAATATTACTGTATAACCACACTGTGTGATTTATTAGTTTCTAGGGATTTGATTTGTTGTTTTTTTCAATTGTGATCACGGATTGATGTCAGTTAGCTGAGTTTAGTTTAATTTCTGATTTTATCATTTCAGATCAAGTGATTGCGCAACACATGACCCGTCTTTTTAGGCTGGTATGTTTTCTTCAGTGAATTTTTGCGTTGTTTTTGAGTCATAGTAAGTTACTTTCATGATTTCGTTTACGGGGTTGTGTACTGATTTCAAGTACATTCGTAACATTCAACGTATTGTGAGTGAGAGAGCCAAAGGGGGTAGGGGAATTACTGTGAAAACTGAAATAAAAGGCGAGGCTTAGGGAGTGGATAAGTCGCTTCTATTTAAACACAGTTTAAGATTCTCCTTGTGTATAAGAAAAGCTTTTTTATTCCTTTACGTTCCCAGTGGTGCAACATTGGGCGCCTTCAAACTAGAGGCTTGAAGTTTCTGTAGCAGTAGTGATTATTTTTACAGGATGGGGTTGCTAGCCGCCTTATGCCCACCCTTCCCTCTTTACCAGTCTTATTACCGGTTTAGCCAGGTAAAAGTGTGCCGGTCGGGGATCGAACCCTGGACCACCTGTGGCGTGGTCGGCGAGCACTCTACCGCTGTGCCACCGACGCACAGAAAATGTTCTGCTTGTGCAAAAATTTTTGGTATGTGTATTCAGTGACTCTAAACTATACCAGTTCAAAACGAAACTATCTAATGTGCGAATTAATGACCTTGAGTAGCCAATCAGATGAATCTGTAGTATATAGGCGGAATTATGTGTACTGTACACGAATTACGCAGCAAATTCCATCCAAATTTAGTATATAAGTGTTGCTTAGACAACAGGCTTATTGGAAGGGAAGAAAAACGTGTGGCCAACTGTTATCTCTGAGCTTTATTCACAATGTGGTCAATCCTTTCGATGAGACTCATATAAGTTCCATGGAAAGTTTCTAGAGCCACCTAAAAATGAGGGTTAGATCGGTGAATGGTTGGGTCAAGAAACTCAACGAATTTTGGCACAGGAATTGGTTTAATCTAACTATGAGGACTTTTATGGGAAATTAAGAAGTTTCCTTCGAACATACACGAGGAAGTTATCCCATATAACTACTTTTTAACATGGCATTACTTTAATACAAACGTGTTTTTTTTTTAAATTACGCACTTCCACTTCGGACACATCTAATTGGTCGACGAGGATTTGTCAGGGTCTTTTTCAGGCAGTTTCATTTTGGGCTGCTATAGTTTAGGTTCATTCATTTTTTCTCCTCTTTTCAAACTTCTTATTTTAAAATATTTAACTATTGGTTTGTAGGGATTTGATTGATTGGTTACAGGATTTCATCATGAGCTGACATTGGTTAGAGAACCATTGGAAAACCAGCATTGGGAGTACTGGACATCTGTTTCGTCAGCCTAGTTTGGGACTCTTTATCAGTACCCACGCACCGCTGGGGTTCGAACCCAGGACCTTCTGGTTACAAGGTGAGCGAGCTATCTCGAAGACATTTAAGCCACTGGGACCCGATCCAATGACCAGTCCATGAATTCTAACTTCTGCCAATTCACGACATAGCGCAACCGCTAGCCAATGTCTTCGGCGAGTATTTGTCCTCACACCCGACCTGCTGCATCCTACTGGTCATGACTTCTCACTAGAACCCCAGAATTCATGGGCCGTTGGATCGGGTCCCAGTGGCTTAATGGTATACGAGCTCGCTTTGTAACCAGAAGGTCCTGGACTCGGTGGGTACGTACTGATGAAGAGTCACAAACTAGGACGAAACAGCTGTCCAGTACTCCCAGGTGGTTTTCCAATTGTTCTCTGACTAATGTCAGCTCATGATAAATTCCTGTAACCAATCAAACCCCTAAAAACCAACACTTGAACATTCATAGTTTTAGATTACATAAATCTACTTAACTAAGCAATTTATCTCTTTTCAAGTTTCTCCGCGGATTGATATTATCACTTAGAGAGCCATTGGAAACCAACACTGGAATACTGGATAGCTGTTTCATCTGCCGGGTTTCGAATCCACGACCTTCCGGTTACACGACTAGCGGGCTCGTATACCATTCAGTCACTGCTACCCAACTCCTCAATGACCAGCCACTGAATTCTAACTTCTACCAATTTGTGATTTGCGCTCGGCTGTCGGCATAAGCCAGTGTCATCGCTGGCGAGTATTTGTCGTCGCTCCCGATAGGATATACCCCACTAATCACGACTTCTCACTAGAACTCCAGGAAACCCCATCCAGTAGCTAGTCACTAGCACGTGTCAGATTATTTTCCAAGAGTTGATTTGTAGAGCCTTAATCGAAAAAGAAAAACCAACTCTTGAAAAGACATTTGAAAATATTTGATTATTCAAGTGAGATTTTTATTTGAAATACACGAATTTGAAGTATCTGTGAAAAGATAATTTGATTGCATGGAGGATTTCATCATGAGCTGACACATCAGTTAGAGAACCACTGGAAAACCAGCACAGGGAGTACTGGACAGCTGTTTCGTCCTAGTTTGGGACTCTTCGGCAGTGCGCACCCACTGGTTACAAGGCAAGCCCGTAGCCGAAACAGCTGTCCAGTAATCCCAGTTGGTTTTCCAATGGTTCTCTAACTGATGTCAGCTTATGATGAAATCCTCCATACAATCGAAGAAAAATCCCTACTAAACCAATACTTGAGAAGATAATTTATCTCTTTTTGGTTTCTGCTTGCTTGAATGGATAGAAGAGGGGAGATCGATTACGATTTGAACTACCTCAGGTAGTTGATCCATACATGATTTTATATTGTATGCTTAGAGGAATTTCAATATTGTTATCATATCAGATGTTACGTTTGGCTATTTTTGAAAGTGTTTTTATCAACTATATTTTTTTTTAAATAGCTGGAATAATTATCTATTGTGATGTTTGCTATACTATACGCGGTGAGGTTAAACTATCACATCCAAAGTAAACGTCCATCAAAAGTTCACCTTCAAGAACCAATTGTGAATAAAAACAAACTGGCGTCATGAGGGCAGAGTTAATGGGTAAAACACAAAAAACACTCTCATTTAGTCTCTTTCTCAGAAAGAACAACCTACTATCGTCTAGGGTAAAATGAATAGGATAAGGTGACGAGAAAAACTATGAGAGCATGCGGTGTAGATGACATAAACGCCACAACCTGGAATTATTAATCAGGTCATTATTCATGTACTCAAAAGTATTCAAGAAGATTGAGTCTGTGAAGGAAAATAGAAATCAGGTTTAATTGAATTTTAGATTTTCCCCTCCAATGATTGATTGGACCGAAGTGATCGGTCTGCTCAGGTTGACATGTCAGCTTCTTGTGCAGATGCTTCGACGATGTCTGGGCAAGTAATTATAATTTAATTGGTGGATGGTGACTAGCAGCGGAACTCAAGATAAAGCGCATTTCGTCCTATTTGGGACTGGTTCGTCAGCCAGTGGATGTACCTGCATTCCCAAGTGGATCAGTGGTGATGTTCCCACCGAGGCTCTAACCCAGTGCCCACAGTTTCAAACGCCAAAGCGTTATCCACTTAGGCCACTTGGGTCACGAGAGCCACTCCACCTCTTGTTCAACGGGTTATATTAATTATTTAATTGAATTTTAGATTGTCCCGT